TGGTAATTAAAAATGTGTAATATAAAATTTGAATTGAATGTGTAATATAATGTATAAATTTAAATTTGACTCAAATCCAAATCCTACCTTAATCTTTTTATAATATAAAATTCTTTCTAAATTCTTATTATTTTAAATTTTTATTTAAGTCTCTCTTTTGCTTCGCATTTGTTCGTTGACTTCACTGCCTTTTCAATTGGCACCATTAGTTTGGTTCTGATAGAAATTGGGCATCAACGGTCCAATTCTAGTTGAAGACAAAGGTTTGATCCCTTCGGCATCAGTAGTCCAGTTGAGACTGGACCACTGTCATTCAAGTTCCCTTTAAATTTAAATATAGAATTTGAAATTTTAATTAGAATTCAAACAAAGAATTTTAATATTAAATCTAAATTTTTTTATATCATCCAAAAAGAGAATTTAAAATTTATGAATTTTAAATGTGAGATATCAAATATGAGATTTTAAATTTAGATTTTAAACTTAAATTTATCCATCCAAATGCAACCTAATTGTATATACTCCCCCGTAGCAAATTATAAGGTATTTTTGAAAGAGTTTTTCCATTTTAAAATATAAAACACTTTGTATAGATTAAGGTTTCATTAAATGTATCAATTTTAATATTATCTTTTCTCTCTTTATAATTAATTTCTATATCTTCTCTTTTTAATATATTAAATGATGGTTATTTTTAAAAGTTTATATTTTTATTTTAAAAAGATAAGGTTGTTAAATGTATTTAATGAGATTTATTAATATTTAAAATTTTATTTAAAAGTGTCTTATAATTTGAGACAAATGGAGTAATATATACACACACCCCTTGTCAAATATTTTAGAAATACCTTGATGTGTGCGCGTCAGTACTTATAATCAAGGAAAGAAGAATTCTTGAATATAATTATGAGTAAAGATAAATACATATAATATAGTAGAACCACATAGACATACACTCTAGATATGTTTCATTGTATATAATATAATGAAAGATTCTAACATATATGAGATAACGATTGCCGTTTTAATTTTAATTACATAATAAATTTCATCTTATCATTTGCTAACTTATTTCCCAAGTCGTCTTATCATCTTCATAAATTTTATCTTATCACTTATTGTCCTGTTCTGGCAGCCAACTTGTCTTTCTGGTTTCTTGTGTCCATCCCAATCCACTTCTTCTTTAATTATTATGTTTATTATCTATTACTTAGATTAATAATAAGAAATATTATTATTATTTATATATCATTATTTTATAAGATATTATATATTTTATCCCTTAATGATTAAACATAAATACTTCAATTTCAAATATACAAGTTATTCTTTTACTAATTAATGTTTTAAAATTTTGGTTATATACTTCTTTTAGTCTTATTTATAGGGCAGAAAGAGAAGAATTTCTTTAATCATATTTATAAGTTACGTCATTAAATTTTCATAACAAATTTTTTTTTACCCTCCATTAAATGTTGAAGAGAGAAAATATATTATTAAAATATGTATATTTAATAAAAGCAAAGTTGAGAACTTATTAAATTTTAAGACATAATAAATTTTAAAGTTTTTCTTGATACTGATAAAATATGTTAAAAGTGACTTATAAATAATATTATAGAAGTAAATCATTATATATCTTTTTTTCCATTTAATTATAAATGTTTAAATATCATTCTCAATGATCATAAATAGATGGTTGGGATATTTATGGACTGAAAAGTAGGCATTGATTATTGATGCTTATTTTAGAATAAATGAGCATATTAGCTCTTAAACTATAAGTCTAAAACTAGATGAGATCATAAACTCATTTTTTATATAATATTTCTCTTCTATTTTAAAAATGATGCAATCTAATTTCTGTTGTTAATAAAAGTTAACTTTAACAGGTTAGTCAACAAGAAAATGACATAAAAGAAACTCAAAAATTACAAAAAATTACAGTAAATAATCAAAAAATTACAACAAGGACCCAAAAAATCACAAAAAAACGACCAATTTTTTTCTTTTTTGTAATTTTGATGTCTTTTTTTATCATTTTCTAATCAATTGATAGTTACAGCTAATTTTTATTAACAATCGAAGTCAAATTGTATTATTTTCAAAAGTTAAAGGAAATATTACATAAAAAATAAGTTTATAAGGTCCCAAACAATTTTGGACCTATAATTTAACCTTTATGTTGGCCTTTCATTTTTGCTACCCTTTTTATATATTTTTAGGGCCAAAATTTATTGTGAAATGTTTTAAAAATCAGATTGAATGTTAAAATGGAAAGCAAGTCTCAATTTTTATAGTTTAATCAATTAGATCGGTGGTCCAATGGCATAATAATTAAATAAGCATTAAATGTATATAATATATATTATATGTATATTATATGTAAAAGAAATAAATCCATAGTATATCCAATTATTAATAAAATAACATAATAACATAATATGAGTATAAATTAATAATATTGTAAATTATAATTTTATAATTTATTAAATATAGGTGAATTTTGATTATATTTGGCATGATTAAGTTTAAAAGGATATATACATTTGCATTTATAACTGCATCTTTCAAGAAAAATGATCCCAATAACACACACACACACTTGTGAAGGGCCTAAAATAAAATTGCCTTTTAAAATGGTCTTTTTTGTTTTTTTGCCTTCTGGGTTTTAAAAGTTTTTTTAGCTTTATATATATATATATATATATATTAGATTCAAATTCCTTCAATTTTTGAAAACCACTCCAGTATCCAAATTAACTCTAGGTTTGGATTCAACGGCAGCAATCATAAAAATAATTTTTTATTCAAATAGAGTAGCAAGTCCAGTCAACAATTCAATTAATCAAACTGTCGAATTTGATTTAAAACTATGTTTATTGTCACATCTGTAATATCATTCTCGTGCCAATTTGTTAGTCATACACACCTTAAATAGCCCCAATTTTTTTTTACTCTTTATAAAAAAATAATAAAATCTCTCAAATTATATGAATAATAATTTAATTTTTTAAAATATTATAATTTTACTGTCAAGAAATTTTATATCAAGAATATCATTTTACCTTTATTAATATGTTACGATTTTTTTGTTCAATTTTTACAAATTTTGAATAAAAGTTATTATTCTTTAAATAAAAGTTGTGATTATGGCTTGCTATTTTAAGAATATTTTTTTCAATAATAAAAATTTCACTTAACAAGATGTAATTTCTCATTTAACTATTATAATTCACAAAATAAAAATTATTATTCTTTAAGTAAAAGTTGCAATTAGCCTTGTTTTTTAATAACACAATTTATATTTGATAAATTATAATTTTTTATTCACCTCTTATGATTTATAAAATAAAAATTATTATTTTTAAGCAAATGTTATGAATAGGGGTTGTTTATTTTAATAAAGATAAAATAATATTTTTACTTTAAAATTTAGTGACATAAGAGTCTTTAAATACTTCAATAAAAAATAATTTAAAAAATTTTATTAGTATTTCCTCTTTTATCAACCCCTATTTTTCTGTACAAAGTGGAGGATCAATAAAAAGAGATTAATTAAGAATTCTTTGCAGGCTATGATTTATTTTGGATTTTTTTTTGTTTTGTTTTTGGTAGGCAGCTAAGGAGATGACATCAATGTCTGACGTGTAGCTTGGGGTCGTCCCTCTATTTATGATGCAATTTTCAACTCCATTGGTTGAAGTCCTAAAATGAATTAATGGCCAAAAAAAATCGTCATGAACGATGATTATACTGAGCATAAATATGATACGATGTTCACCTCTTTATTTTCAACGAAATGATATGATATTTATTGAATGAGATTTTTTCTAATTTGAATGTTACTCCGTTTGACACAATTTAGAAAATATTTTTTTTGACAAAATTACACTTTTTAATAAAATTTATTAAATATAGTTTACAATATTATTTTTTCAAAATAAAAATCTAATTTTTGAAAGCATTTTTATTTATAAAAGAATATTATGGAGAGAAAATATAATAAAAAAAGCAATATTAAAAAAATATAATTACTAAAAATTTTTTTGTTATGAAAAATGTTTTGTATTTTAGGACATTGAATCTTTCTAAAAATATATCTCATAATTTGAAAGGGAGTATTAAAAAATTAACTTGAGATATTATCCCTCTTTGGATAAGTATAACTTTAACTTTTAATTCATCTATAATTTTATAATTTATAACTAATATAATGTGTTGTAAATTTTATATTTTATATTGATGATATAGGACATGCTTGGTTAAACTTAAATTATATAAAAATTACCAAAAAGTAAAATTATGTTCATTTGTTTTGGGAAAAATATAGTATTTGCTTGGTGCTGTTTTTTATTTTTATGCTCTCAAAATAATTATGTATAATAAATTTTTACAATAATTTTTAAAAATAAAAAATAAAAAATTACATTTGAATCATTATTTCAAAAACTATATCAAAAGCGGTGAATTAAAAGGTGTAAAAATTATTTATTTTATTAATATAATTATCGTTAATGGAAACACAATATTTTCTGGCTTTTCCCTAATTTTGTTTTGTAGAATTAAAAGTAACAAAACATCATGAAGATATTTTGAGTTTTTAGTGTTTTACAATAACTTTAATTTTTTAAAAAAATAAATAACAAAAAATATATTTTTAAATAATTTTTTTATTTTATATTGTTAAAAAAAAACTTTTTTGAAAACAGAAATTCAAGCATGCCCATAAACACTTTTACTCTGTCATTTTTTTTATTACCTGTTATATTTCTCTAAAAATTGACATTAATAATTGATATTATATATTAAATGAATATAAAATATTCATTCAATTATATTAATATTAAAAATTAATTAATTAAAGAAATAATATAGAACCATTTTTTAAAAAAACAAGATAAAATAATTATTAATTATTAAATTTAATTTGTTTTTATTGAGGCGTAAGTCCCATACAAGGGATATTCTTACCGTATTGAATGAACTTTTGAGTCAGAATCCTAACGCGCTCTTATCACTATCTCTGTTGTTTTTCGGAGTCCACGCTGGAGCGTCTTTCGTTCCTTTCAGGTTGGGTAATTCGTAACTATTGCCTTCACAGATCGTACAAAAGTCCTCTGGTCTGTGATTCTTCCACGTATTCGTGGTTTTGGCGTTCCCAGTGAGTTGCTTTGTTGAATTTCGAGGATTCTTCAGGTGTAAGTCGATGAATTCGGATTCTTCCTAGCTGATCTATTTTCTGGCGCTTGAGTTTCTTCTCCGGTTTGCTGAAGTGGGCGCGCGCGCGGCTCAGCTCCGTTTTTGCGTAGACCACGCGTCAGTGGAACTCAACTGTAGTACGGGCAACAAGGAGATCCTGGTTCTTAACATCAAACCCTTTCTGTGATAGGTATCTGAAATTCTGTTTTTTTTTAATCCCTTTTCGTGGAAATTTCTTACTGGAAGGCTTGGCCGTAACTGGTGGTGATGTGTGAGAAGTTGAAGTTGCAGCAACTTTCGGTGGCTTCATTGGCTATATGATTGACTCCTTGGCCGGCGGGGTTTTTGTTTTCTTAGCCTATTGGGTGATTTCGACTGATAATTTGGTTGGCTGCTGAGTATGTTTCAGATATGAGACCATTAAGTCTCTGGGTTTAGACACTTCCTGAAGAAGGATTCTTTGAGGATTAAGTTTGACGTGTTTGGCTATAATATACTACTTGAATAGGATTTTTCTAATTATGTTTGGTTGGTCTACATGTCCTCCATTGATTGACAACAGTGAAAAGCTTTCAATATCTATTTGGACACTAAAGTGCAAACGAACTGGTTAAGAATGGCTATCACTGCTTTGGCTTTTATGCTATTACTGCAGTTGCCAAGAATTTTTGGCTTTGGGGATTTCTTACAGTCAAAGGGTTGTGGTGCGAACTGGGTAGCCTATTCTTATTCTCATGGTCAGGAACTATTCTACATAAACGGGAATGTTGTTAACAAAGACACTTTCTGCAAGGCCCTTCAGCTGTATATGGTAAATGGTTGTGATGCCAAGTGCTATTTTGCAAGTACAAGCTGTGGGCTGGAAGTTTCTTTTGGTATGGAATATTGAACTTTGTGATAATTTGTTGAGTACAATTTAGAAAAAACCGTTGTGCTCATTTTTGTAGATGTTCATTTATATGAGCCTTTTCTTTTTTTAAACATATGTATTGATTTTTTGTACTTGTGCGGTTAATTTACCTTCAAATGCAGGGAGAAAGCTTTTGCAGAAGGATATAAGCAATAACTCAACATTCCCAGGCCACAAGAATGTTTCTAAGCCTCTATCAACCCCAAAAGTTGGTATAGTTGCAAGTGGAGTTTTGTTTGTATGCTGTGTTTTTCTTTGTCCTTGTTTCTATGGGAAGAGACAAAAGGCCACTGCTTCCAAGGATCCAAATTCAAGTGAGCTGATATTTCTATATGAAATTATTATCTTTTTCTGGACATTTTTAATTGGAAATGTCTTAAAAAACTTTCATGCCAGGCGTAGGTGCATTCAAGTAATGATAACTTCCTGGACGCTTCATAACATTTTGTTATCATACTATATTAAATTTTCCATTTCTATTATTAACTTATACACTCCTTTAGTCCTTTTGTAGCTGGTGCTTTCTGTTATGCTTTCTTTTCTTTTCTCTTTTTCCTATGCCCTTAGAATGAAAAATAATGGGCAATTTGCTTTTGTAGTGGATTCAGCTTCCTCCCAGGAAGGAAACTCTATTTCTGAGAAGAGCCATGGCGGCTCTCTTCATCGGGTACCACCTAGTCCTTCAAGATTTTCAATGTCTCCAAAACCCAGTAGACTTGGGCCACTACATCTCAGCTTGAATCAGGTTGTAAAAGCTACTCATAATTTCTCAAATAAATTACAAATAGGAGAAGGAGGTTTTGGGACTGTCTACAAGGCTCAGCTAGAAGGTGGCCAGGTTGTGGCAGTAAAACGTGCCAAAAGGGTACAAACTTTGTCTTAATTTGTGGCTGGAAATTCTTCATTCCTGTAAACGTGGGAATACTAATGCTTTAAATTGTGTTTTATCAGTGATTTTGTTTGTCAATTGTGTATTATAAAGTGCTTGGACCATTTGAACCACTGAGCATATAGCTCAGATTGTTGGAAAAGGTTTAAAACACCTTCAATTGTGAGATGCATCCATCTAAAATTGGGTCAAATTTGCAGAAACAGAGAAAATTATGTTTCTTATCCTACCCTTCAGCAAGTTATTCCTAGTTTAAACACATGAATAAACACTGGAAACCTCGGCCTTTAGGACTTCATCTAATCTAGTGGCCTTTTCAATTCATTGTATTTGGTGAAGATGCTAGTTACACCAAACTAGTAATTAATGTGACTTAAAAAATCTAGCTTCCCAGGGAGAACATAATATTGTAATCTAGCAAGTAATTTGCTCGTTTTTCGTTGATTCAATCAAATATTGAAACACAGAAAAGTGAAAAACAGAACAAACAGTAGAAAAATTGCAAAGGAGAGTATAGGCTGTGGAAGGTCAATGAGTTCTAGGTCTGTATTTCTTCTTTTACCGTAGAAAATATATGCTGTTAAGACTTATAATGGAATTCCAGTTATAGTTCTTTTCCCTATGCTAACATGAATAAATTGCATAGGAACATTTTGAGAGTTTGAGAACTGAATTCAGCAGTGAAGTTGAACTTCTGGCCAAAATTGATCACCGAAACCTGGTGAAGTTACTAGGTTACATTGACCAAGGAAATGAACGTCTTCTTATTGCAGAGTATGTCCCTAATGGCACTCTTAGAGAACATTTGGATGGTAAGCTCAGGCACTTTTGATATTGACCAATGATTGTACCTCTATAAAAAGCTAATTTAGAATATTTGGTGGATGTTCCTTGCAGGTTTGCGTGGAAGGATCCTTGACTTCAATCAGCGCCTTGAAATTGCCATTGATGTTGCTCATGGCTTGACCTATCTACATCGTTATGCAGGTCAGACATCCTTCCACTTGAGCTATTCTTTTCACCTTCTCCACGTTCTCCACAGAAGCTGAATATCAGACATTTGAATCTAGACTTCAATTCAGAGTGTAAATGAGTGGAGTGAAGCCTGAATCAAAGAAAATCATTTTAGGCATGATTGTTTACCTTTTTTTAAAAAAAAAAGGAAAATATAACTTAGTTCCTGAACTTTCTCTCAATTATTGATTCAATTGTTGAACTTCAACTTAGAACAATTTAACTCTTGAAATTAATCAAGTTAAGAAATTATAAGGACTAAGTTGTTCCAAGTTAGAAAACCATAAGAACTGGCTATTCTATTATGGGTCAAATTGCTAGGTGTAATAGTTAATAAAAGAATAGTAGGAATATAATAGAATAGTTGTCAATTCTGTTATAGGATGGATGTCTGTTTGGGAGAGTCAGTTTGTTAAGAGTCGCTGTAAATGCCTATATTAGCTTGTAACAGGGGAATTTGACAATTATGTCAGTTGATGCTTGTCTTTCTCTTCTTCTCGCTACCTGCTATCTTCCTTTCTACTACCACAAACACTGATAAATATTTTATACCTGGGGACAATGGACTCGCAATGCCATTGTGTAGTTACTTATTTATTTATTTATTTTTAATATAGCATGGTTCATGCAACATATCTTGTACTCCTGGATATTCATCAATTTGTGAAAAGTTTCTTGACTTCTTGCTTATCGTAGAACAGAAAAGCCAATTATCCATAGAGATGTGAAATCATCCAACATTCTTCTAACGGAAAGCATGAGAGCTAAGGTAGCTGATTTTGGATTTGCAAGACTTGGTCCAATGGACTCTGATCAAACACACATCTCTACTAAAGTGAAGGGAACAGTTGGCTACTTGGACCCAGAATACATGAAAACATATCAGCTTACTCCCAAGAGTGATGTTTATTCATTTGGAGTTTTGCTTATAGAAATTGTGACAGGCCGCCGTCCTGTGGAGGTAAAGAAGCCTGTTGAAGAGAGGGTGACACTGAGATGGGTAAATTCATATCCTTTTCTTATCTTCTCTACTTCAGATTAATATCTCATTATATGTCATGATTTTACTGGTTTTATATTTGTTTATTGTCCTAAAAGAAGAATGACGTTGATGGCGGCGCTGTAAACTGGTGTGATTTCATCCTAGACAACTTTTTCTGTCGAAGGTTTCCTACCAAGTCCAATTTTTCGCGCATGTTTTAATGGTTTTGAATGTGTTAAGTGAATTGATGTAAACCCCCCAATGAAATTCTATGCATGAATTCTTGTTAATTAACAAAGCACAACGAGCTTACTGCTGAACAAAGATCATATGATTCTGATCTCTTTCAGGCTTTCAGAAAGTATAATGAAGGAAATGTAGTGGAAATGGCGGATCCTTTAATGGAGGAAGGTATAAATGTAGAGGTTCTGATGAAGATGATTGGTTTAGCAATTCAATGTGCAGCACCGAGTCGAGCCGATAGGCCGGACATGAAATCGGTGGGAGAACAACTGTGGACGATCAGAGCAGAATTCCTCAAGAGTCCAAAGAGGGTGTAATTATTGAAAATATTTCGAGATTGTACTAATTCGATTCAGTGTTCATTACTTTTTGTTGTTATTATTATTATTATTATTCATATCTTCTTTGCACTAGTCCACTACAATAACTTGTGTTCTCAACGGTCTGAAAATTGTAGATTTTAGGTTCGGTCTCCTTTTACATGATGTGCTTGTGTGCTTCGAGAATGAATTGCCTTATTTTAAGTATTGAGTTTAATTTTATCGAGTGCCAGATTTTGTTTATAACTAAAGATACCCTCTCGAGTTGTTAGATCTGGATATTTTAATTAAAAAGCATAATTATTGATTTTTATAGTATTATTGTGTTTAGTTATTGGTTCTTGTACTTTTTTTCAATGTTTTAGGTGTTTTTAATTTTCCCCCCCCATACAACATTCTTCCATCTATTTTTAAATGTTCTTATAGGAACGCTGATATGGCATTAGTAGAGTTATATTATTTGTGGTGTAATTAACTATGTTAAATCTTATATTGAATGTTAATATAAAGATAAGGTAACAATTTAATTAAAAAATGAAAATAAAAGGAATGCTTAAATGACAAAAGCATGAAATCTAAAAGTTATCTAAAAGTTAATATAAAGATAAGGTAACAATTTAATTAACTAAGTTGGACAGGATAATCAAAATTTTACATAGCCTTATCTAAAATGAACAATTAGGGAGACAAAAGATAACAAAAAGGTAGGATTAGGGAATAAGCCAAAGGACAACTGTCTAGGGGCATCTAGCATGGAATGCATTTTTAATAATACAGCCTAGCTACATACATGTATGGCCATGCAAGCAACTACAACTCTGGATACTTCTTGCAACCAGGCTGTCGTCATCCATGATGACAAAGGCACTCCGTGAAAGCAACCCCAAGACCCCCCCCCCCCAAAACTTTGGGCCGCTCTCCAGTGTCTCAAGGCCAACCTTCAACTATTGGGCAAGTAGCACCTCAGCCCAAACGTCTTGATCTTGAGGTAGATAAACGTGGGCAGAAAACTCTCCGTTAGGCTTCAAATTCACAAGCTTAAAGACAAACCCAGTGACAATGGTGCTGGACCTTTGTTCGGGAATTGAAAGAAATTGCTCACGGAATGCATGAGGAAGTTGCAGAAAATGTTAAAGACGAGGCTATTGCCATGCTGGTTGAATGGGTGGATTTTATCTCAAACCCAAAGCAATAAATTATGCTTTATTTATGTCTATTATCGATTGGAACTGCCAAGGAGCCTTAGATAAGAGGCTCCCCTCTATAATTAAATCCTTTTGTTTCTAACTTTAAACATGTAATCTTTGTTCTTATACAGCCAGGCATTTCAGGGGTAAAGGCTGATAAAGTAATTAAAAAAAATTGGTCTTCCTCATTTTCTATTAAGTGTCTTGGTAATGTTAGGAGACATTACATGCATCACCTCTCAAACTCGTGTGATATAAATGGACAAAACCAACCTATGTAAGTGATGCCCTAAATTAAGACTTAAATTATCATACTAACTATGATTAATCAAGAACTAACCCAAAAATATTATCCTATAAGAGATTAACCTAAACAAGTCATCAACATGTATCTTCACAAATTATTTAAAATAAAGAGATCCCAAGTTTTTAAAATATTTCAATAACTCACACAATTTAATTAAACCTGTGTAGAAGCATAAAATTGATTAAGCATTAAGAAACACATTTCAAGATGGGAGAAAAACTTTTACCTTTATTTTCTCTCTGTGTCCTACTACACATAATATATATATATATATATATATTCACTAACATAACACTTAGCCACTCAAACCTTTCCATAACTAGTAGCGGAGGACTAAGGTCTCATTCACATTTATCACAATGATTATTACTTAGTTATCATACTCTATATATCATCTATTAATCAATAGTTCATCACATGTATGAATTTCTATTTTCATTCATGTATAGTCAATATCAATTCCTAACCCTTGGACATTAAAAATACAATGGGAGACCATAGTAATATTCAAGTTCTACTAACATTCAATTTTTTTTTTCATATAATAACTATTTCCACTTACACAAATATTTTGGGCCACTAATATAAATATAGGCACCAAACCACATTCCTAAAGGCCCAAAATACACTTTCATCCAACACAAAATTCATAATGCAAGTGGATCAAGAATATATTGTTCTAGTTGGCAATATCATAAATTATATACACGTATCAAAATAAAAAAAAGGAAGGTCTACAAAAGTAATTATTATCACTTGGCCTAATGCTCATTTCTTCTATTCATCTCAAATGACCTAGCTCCTGTAATATGTTAAAAGAGAGGGGTGAGTACAACCACTCAATAACTAATGTACATCTAAGTTATATAAATGTATGATAATTAATCATGAATACAAGTGGCTGATAAATTTATCAAGATAACTATGTAAACAATCACATCAAGATCATGTTAATCACGTTAACATCTAACTCAAATAAATAATTTCAAAAATAAAGTCAAGTATAAAATTAGCACAATTGCCCATAAGTACTAAATGTTCGTACAAAATTGACACAAGTGGCCACATATACATTATTCACATATTTAACACATGTTTTCATTTTTACAATTACAATCATAGCATAGCCATCAATCACTCAAATGGTATAATAATAATAAAATGCATGATCAATCTCTTTCGTATATCCTCCCTTATTTTCTCTGACATGAAATCCATGGACCAACAATCAGAAGGAATCATCCATGTGGTAAGACTACCTAAGACCTTAATCACCTCATAAGAACTATCAGGCCAGGGTTACCTTACACACTTATGAACATGATTTCCCCTAAATCACACACTATAAGGCGCCATACCCAAGACTAGCTCTACCCAAAAGTCCAAGTAGGCCAATAAGGTTAAGTCCCTTAATAAGAATAATGCTATAATACCTTACAAGATAAGTAGCAGTTATAACACCTAAGATTATTCATTAATAGCCAAGTACCATATGAATTTTGCACAATTACTAGCTCCTTCACCAAGGCGAACTCCCACCATATGATCATACTTATGAGAAAATCCATTTCAATAACTCATATATGTAATTCACAATTAACCCACATGTTCCTTAATTTTCATGCTTAATAAGCATCAAGAATCATCATATCTCAATCATACCTCATGCGTCATTTTTCATGTTACTACATAAATCACATTAGCATCATATGAAAACTCAATATGCTCATACACAATTCATTACTATGTACAATCCACAATTTATAATCAAGAGTATGTATATCATTATCAACCCTCAATCTCATTACTCAAATCATGTCACATTATCCCATGAAAGCATAAATTAATATTAATAAGGGTAAAGGGACAAAAATACTCACAGAGTGATCAGTCAAGGGCACTTAGTATTCTAAAGTGAGAAAAGTAAAAAAAATACTCATAACGTTATATGGGTGGGTGCAAAAGTGATCAAACCATTAACTTTGACCTAACACTGTTAACTTTGACTGTTAAATGGTGACTATGCATGCCACATGTCAGTTTTTGCTAACAAGGACTAATAAAAGTGTAAAAATATCCACAAAGTCATTGACCAGGAGCAAAAATACCTACAAAGTCATTAACCATGAGCAAAAATATCCATAACATTTCTAGAGTTAGTGCAAAAGTGATCAATTCATCAAATCCCTTAAATATGGATCGTTTAGCTGACATTTAAGTAAAGTTGATTATTTTTTCATTAATGTAGACAAAAAAATTCCCAAATGAATTTTTATGAATGTTGATTGATTATCGTATGAGTACCCACAACGTTACTTTAATAGGTGCAATAGTGACTAATTTGTCAAAATTCATGTCACATGATTTTTTTCCATCGCCATGTATCTCACCCCCTTCCTTCCTCCCTCTCTACTCATTTTTTTTCTCTGCAAAACTTGAGATTCAACATAGTGAGATAGGTTGTACACAATCAAATATCGAGATTGAGCATACCTCCTATGCTGCCTTACCTTAAGAACATTATCACAACCTTAAGTGATCTTATTCGTGATAGGCTCAAAATTTTCATATGATTTTCGCCACTATTGCAAATAAACAAATGATTTAATTTGATATTCGATTAAAATGATATTTTCTCACATAGTATTCATGCAATAACCAATTAACCTCCAAAGAATTTTATCTGAAAATATTTTTCATCCATATCAGCAAAAAAATGGTCAACTTCTACTTAGATGTTAGCTAAATGATCAACATTTAAGGGATTTGATGGATTGATCACTTTTGCACCAATTCTATAAATGTTATGAGTATTTTTGCTCCTAGCTGACAAGTTTATATTTTTTTCTCCTGGCCAATGACTTCATGGATATTTTTGTCCCTTTATTAGTCCATGTCAGCAAATACTGACACATGGCATGCATAATTAGCAATTAACAGTTAAAGTTAATGGCGTTAGGTTAAAGTTAATGGTTTGGTTATCTTTATACCTACCCATGTAATCTTATAAATATTTTTGCCTTTTTTTCCCACTTTAGGACATTGAGTGCCTCCGGCTAACTACTTTGTAAGCATATATTTGTTTCACAAACATAAACAATTAATTAACACACAATTATATAAAATAGATTTTTCTCAATTACCTCAACCTTTGGATGGTCAAGGGTTACTCCTTGAATTAATACTTTCAAAGCTTTTCAAAGCTTGAATGGTTCCAAATAAAAATTAATCAATAATTAATCATATCTTAATATGTCAATAATATTATTACAAATTTGCACTCATATCCCAACACTTAGATATTTATTTTATTTTATTTCATTTTCTTTTTAAGATCTTAGTCTTAGCCTCTTGAGTTCTAAAAATTAATTTCATATATTTGAATCTATCAACTTGGCTCAATAGCTTCCTTCACAATAATTCATGATATGGAACCCAGACCGGTCGAGTCAACACGTAACCCGACGACCTGGTCTGAGTTTCCTCCTAACCCAATCACTAGTTGATTCAATGTAACTTGATCAATCCAGGATTAGCTCAGGATAACCCAATAGGTTGATCAAGTTGGTTGGGTTATTATTTT